TATATATATATATTATATGGTATGGAAACAGATATATGATATATTATATTTTTTAAAAATATTGTAAAAAAGATATCAATTAATTTCTTTCTTCTTTATAGGTGTGTATTAATATCTGATTCGTGGAAAAAAATTATACAGCTAAAAAATTATATCGTTAAATAAAATAATTAACAACAAACAGTTAAAGATAATGTGCAAAATATATTTTATTATATTGTAAAAAGATATATCATAGAATCTGAGATGAGAAATATGAAAGCAAAAACTGAAGTATAACAATTAGAATTACGATAGTTTTATATCTTCACTAATCTCTGTGAAATTTGAAATCAAGATTAAATTAATTGTCTGCTGACATAAAAATTCAGTTCACCTCAACACAAAATAACTTAAAAATAATAAGTTTTTACGTGGTTTGAGTTTTTCTTTCTCACTCCTTTATCAGCAACCCAAACCATGCAGAAGGAGCTGAGGAGAACACGCACCTATGCACCCTACTTCTCGTGCTTCGCTTCAGTCTTTTTTTTTTTTTTTTTTTTTTTTTCAATATTTAAAATAATTTTCGTGGTGAATATCTGAGTGCAAATTCAGGTTCCTAAAATGCCACTTTTAAATGTTGTTTCATGGAACCCAAAGAGGTTGCCATGCCCCATGCCCCAACACAAATAGCCAAACAAGGTCTTAACTTTTAACACTGTTCCTTCGCTTCCACTCAGAATTATCATTGAAAGCCTTAAATGGCCAAAAGCATATCCAGTGGAAACGACAGAGTTTAAACCCAATAACTAACCTGACTTCGAGAAAATACCGTGATCCCTAGTAGATGAGAATATTACTAATTTTCAAAACATGTAATTATTGCTTAGATGGTAAAAAAAGAAGAAGAAGAAGAGAGAATTAGTTTTTTACCTCAAAAAACTTGATACATTGAGGAAAAAAAAAACACAGGAACAAACTCAGTGAAGACATGCTTACTGTGGTACGAAGCAGCAACGGGAGCGGGTTGGAAGTCAATAAAATACTGGAGAAATACTAAACAAAGTAAATAATTCACATTTCAACGTAGAGACTGTGCTTACTGTTGTTGGAAGCAGTAACCGTTAGAAGCAATAACCGCTGCGTGGAATTGGTTAGTATATTTCTAGATATTTTAGGGTAAAATACTCTTTCAAAGTTGAAGAGGTTATATTTTTAGGTTTAGCTTATCTATTCATATATAAAACTGTTTCCTATTTTCGTGGAAACAATTACTCATAATCACTTATAATTTATTCCAAATATTTTTACGCCAATTGTTTATCTTATTATATTAAAATAAGTTAAAATTATATTTTTATTATTTTTTATATTTCTTTTAACCTTTTATCTTTTAAAATAGCCGTTTGATTCTTGATCTCTAATTTAAGTTTATTTATTTATTTTAATTTTTTTTTACTAATTTAAGATTTAAAATTTATCTCATAAAATTTTATTATGTAAAAGTTATTGAATGTAATTGATGTTTAAATCAAATGTGTTATAAACATAATACAAATAAAAAGTTTCAAAAATTTAAATTTTATATTGTTTTCTAGATATTTATAAGATATATTTTCACACGATTTTTATTGTGTTTATAATTCTTTTGAATTAAAGTATCAATTATACTTTAGACAGATGAATTTAATATTATAACTTTCATATTTTAAATCAATCAAAAATTTATTCAAAATTATATCACAAAATTAAAAATTATTATTATTTTACAAGGATTAAATTAATTTAAATATAAAAGATAAATTATGAAAATGAATATTTTAAAAGATAAATAACTAAAATAAATTTAAAAAATAAAATAAAAGAGTAAAAATATAATTTTATTCTTTAAAATATAAAGAAGTATGACATGCCTCTTTTACGCAGCATCCATAGTAAACAAAATTAGGAAACCAAATATATTGGCCGGATTTCTAGCATTAAAGCAGGTTAACTCTCTCGTGCCATTACTCACGGGATTCTGTGTCCTTTAATTTTTATTTTATTTTTATTTTATGTCAAATAAACGTTTAAATTACATCAAATATATTTATATATAATATTTTTATTACTTTAAATTTAATATTTATAATTATTTTTCTCCTAACTCATATGCTTATAAAACATAAAAAGAAGATTTTGAGGCATAGTATTTGATCATTCAATCATCAACATTCTTCGGTACATAGTCTATTCCATAATCACATAATTTGCAATACATTTTGATACTTTATTTAAATTATAATATATTTTATCATACGAATTAATGTGTCATAAATAAATTTTATTTTACTAAAATTAATTTAAATTAAAAATAAAAATAACATTGTAACAATATAATTAATGTGTCAATCTATGGTAGTTTTGGACATGTTTTTAGTGTGAGTATATAGTTCTTCACATTTGGTGTGAAGGAAGTCATCAAATGCAAAGATGATGTTAAAGTTATTCTTGATTTCTCTGTGTTGAATGAGGAGTATTTTGCCTAATGTCAATTGACAACATATTTGGAAAGAGATATAACATTGGACGTGACCTAGATCATGCTAGATGATTTTGTTCTAGAGTAATCTCTAATTCTTCAACGTCTAGATCAGTGGCAACATATTTGAAAAGAGATAACGTCGGACATGAACTAGATCATGCTAGATGATTTTGTTCTAGAGGGATCTCTAACTCCTCAACTCTAGACCAGACATAGGAGTAATCACGGTAGTTGATTTTGTTATAGACCAGTGACAACATATTTGAAAAGAGATAACATCGAACGTGACCTAGATCACGCTAAATAATTTTGTTTTAAAGGTATCTCTAACTCTTCAACTCTAGATCAGACATATAGGAGGATTGAAAGAATCATGTTGGACGTACGTAATTGAGACAAAGAGTGTTGAAAAAATTTATTATAATTTAAAATTTAAATTAAATATTTTTATTTAATATTTGTTTAAATGTTTTTATTTAACATTTATTTAATTGTTTTTAACTGTTTTGACCGTGTCTCTTTTGATGTCATTTACATGTTATTGTTTTTATTTAACTCTAGTTGCACTTTAATACTAAAGTATCTATATATGGTTGCTTGTTGAGAGAATAAAAGCACAAACACAATTGTAAAAAAAAAAATTAGCTTTCCCAGAAACTCTCTTGTTATTAAAAGTGTTTATATTTTGAAACAATGTTTTTTAATAAATTTTTTTTATTGTACACATTGATCAAACAAGTTATTATATCTTGGAAGAGAAAAATATTATAAATTAATTTAATGAAACATTTTCTCTATAAAGATAATACCTAACGTACTTTAACTCAATCTTTTATAAACTATGATTCATATCTTAATCTATTATATATAAAGGTGATAATTTGATTTGATATATATATATATATA